ATGGTGTACATGGACTATGAGAGAAATAGGAGATTTGATTCCGGATTTTTCACCCGCAAAAATAATTAATTTGATTCTGATTTCCAACCGAACAGAGACTAAAATCCATAAGGTTGTCTTATCAATGAGATTCCTTAGTATTATTAAAATGGTAAAGAATTTATATTACATGACTGGTTCGAAACAGTATGGAAACCATAGAAATGCCGTTTCCTTTAAAATTTGAATACTATGTTGCTAAACATGCAAAGACCTATACTTGTACATGATATCCATGTTAGAGGTAATCTCACCACTGTTACGGAAGAGGCGAGGTGTTGCATCCGGATGGGCGTGGGGTGGTGTCAGAAATAGATGGCATCCGCGCGCAGTGGAACTCTGGCAAGCTATGCAAAGATGTGGTGCATCCCTGAGATTACGTCGATGTGTAATACCGGGCCGGAGTGGCTCTTACACTCCTTGGCGGACCTGAACAACGGCGATCGGCTGCGTCTATTGATGGTGTTGTGGAGGTGCTGGCATGTGCGAAATGAAATTACCCATCATAAGCCAGCACCACCAGTGGAAGCGTCTAAACGTTTTCTGCAGAGCTATGTATCCTACTTGTTGAACCTGCAACACTATTCCACGGTGGAGCTAGTGAAAGGGAAGATGGTGGCAGATGAGGATGGTGTGGCTCAGCTAAGGATGGCAATGGGTCGGTTTGGATCGGGTTAAACAATATCAAATCCATATCCATATCCATAAAGACAATCTTTGCCCGCCCATGAAAATATCCACGGGCGAAAAATTGTGTCCATGTCCAAACCCGATGGATATCCATACCCATTGGATATCCATTGGGTCCTCTTGAGACATATAAATGAGACATAACACAATATTAACATAAGCTCTTTCATTCTTCACCTAGTGGCAAGCTAGGCTTCACTTATGGTAAACATCAACTTATGGTACATCAACGTCCACTTACAACATAAGATCATTTAGTATTTTTCTACAGATGGGAATGACAAATCATTTAGCAAGGGGATAAAAATAAGGGAAGGGGTCTTAGAGTATGTTATGGTGGGAACTGAATGTCAAATAATAAAAGTTATGATGGGGATTGTGTGATTTTTTTTTGCATGTTTTAGATAACAAAGTGTAAAATTGCAGTGGGACATGTGACTGTATGGTAGGGATAGCAGATTTTTGCCCATTAAGTCATACTATCGGGTCGGGTTTGGATATACCCACGGATACAAGATTATATCCATGCCCTATCCACGAGTAATCGGGTCGGGTTTTGGCGCCGCCCATGGACACAAAAGCATATCCAAACCCTATCCATTCGGGTCGGGTATCCTTGGGTAAAATTGTCATCCTTAGGCTCAGCCATTGTTGCATGCGAAAATTCCAAAGCCACCACCTTTTAAATGGCAGTCTCGTCCTACAAGATGGACTAAGCTGAATGTTGATGGGTCTCTGTCTACGGCCGATGGTACTGCAGGCGCCGGCATGATATTGCGTGACCAGGACGGCGCCATCATCTTCTCGGCTTGTCGCTCTCTTTGGTCTTGTCTTGACGTCCTGCATGCTAAGCTTGCTGGCTGCATGGAAGGATTGGCTTTGGCCCTTCAGTGGACAGAACTTCCAATCATCCTGGAGTGTGATAGCAAGATGGTAGTCGAGATGGTCACATCAACAGAACATAATAGATCCATATACACCATGGTAATTTCTGAGATTAAGTTTCTTTTGGGTCAAAGAGAGTGTGTAGTTACTTATATTTCTAGAGAGCAAAATAATGTAAGTCATGTTCTAGCAAACTTTGGTGCTTCCTCTGTTCCAAATTACTCGTCGTGGTTTTAGTTCAAATTTGAACTAAAACTACGACGAGTAATTTGGTACGGAGGAAGTAGATCGAGAACCGCACGGTTCTTTGGCTGCGTTCTGGACCGGCTAATATCCCTAGCCTGTGTAGGGATGAACTTATTTGCTCTTGAGTAATACACTTCATTTTACCCCCAAAAAAAGGAAATAGATGGCGTCCCGTACATTCAGATTTTTCTCCAAAACTAGAATTTGGTGACTGTTGATGCTCAAAAGTGGCACGTTTATAAAGAGTGGCTTGAAGCTATGTCAAAAGTAATTCAAACTTATTATTGAAAGTCACTATGAGATGGCTCTCTTCGAGAAAATCAAGATGAATATGAAGATGGTCTAAAATGGGGTTCGGATGCAAAAGTTATGACAACTTCAGAGATGCTCATGTTGACACCAGATTAAAAAATGGCTTGAGACCTAATTAAGATGTCCTCATATGGAAAAATGATCAACACAAATTGTCTTCGTCTCGTCGAAACGGTCGATTTTGATATAAAAATCGTCCCAATCCGAGTTCGTATGCAAAAGTTAGAACTATCGGAGTGCAGCCCTGTCACGAGGCGAGATGTGGCACGTCCCACCAGACATAGGTCTGATGGGTAGCGCGAGCAAGCAGGTGTTCTGCGTGACTGTTTTGGCGCAGAAGATGACCTCAAATCGAAAAACGTTCAACATGAAAGTTGTTCGTCTCGTCGAAACGGTCAAGATTGCTTTTGGGCTCGTTTCCATCCGAGATCATGTACCACCACAAAAAGGATCCGCAAGGTGCAGCCAGTTTAAACCGAACAGTTTTGGAAAGTTTGGACAAAACCAATCCGAATTTGACTATGGTTTTGGACATGAATCCAAGCCTTTTCCTTGCACGGGAAGTCCAGCCGTCTCTTATATACCTAAGGGGTGACGGCCGATTGAACAACACACAATCGATCAATTCATCTACCACCTTTTATCTTTTATCTTTTCTCCTTAACCCTAGTTCTTCTTCTTCCTCGTTCTTCGTATGTTCTTCTTCTTTGCAGGGCGGCGAACCTCGAGGCCCTAGGGGCGATCAGGTCGACCTAGGGCAGCCCATAGCCGCCGCGCGTCCAGACGGGGTCCTTCCCGGGCGTGCGGGGTTTCGGGTCTTTAAAAGCGCCCGCCGGATTGCCTGCGTACCGCGATTTCGGCCGAGTCTCCTTCAATGTGAGCTGCGGTGCATCACCCTCGGCGTCGAGGGTACACGGTGACGTGTTCGTGTGCGAACACACTTTTTGGCGACTCCGCTGGGATGAAGCTTTGAACGGTCTCCGGCCCGTTCTTGCTACGAAGAGATCGTCATCTAGGGTTTGCAATCTACAAAGGTAATATGAATACCCAATTCCCTACTGTAGATGCAAATAATGCATATGATGTTACTAGATCGTTCAATGATTATACTCTATCGGCCAGCCCTAGTTTTTTCAATAAGGCGTCTAATTACGTGCATAGGCCGATTCAAAGTAATTTACATGTTTCAACTTCTTATGATATTAGTAACATACAACATATGTATCCAAACTCTCATGCATCGGCAACCCCACAAATCCATATGCCGATAAACAACATGATGGGTTCGGTTAATCAATTTGGAACACCTCATGTTAAAATTTCCAATAGCATAGAAGAAAGTGTTTCACCTTTTTATTCATCGGCAACTAATTTGCAGTATGTGAATACAACCTTGCCGATGGATGGGAGAATTGGCCATGCTACTACTAGCTATTCGGCCAGTTACTCTCAATCATCATATGCTACACCTCATTTTAGTAATTTTTAGCACCGTATGCAACTGTAGATGTTCATAATTCGGCCCCGCATCTTCATGGTCATAGCCGAATAAGTGAAAATTTTACAGGAACACATGTGCCGTCATCAAATACTATAGCATATAATGCACAACCTACGCAATTCAAGAATTTCGGCAACACTCACAAATCATTGCCGAAAGAATCTGGAAGTATTGCGGAGCAATCCCTTCCAGAAGCGGTTGTGCATTAAAAAAGCGCTTGGCATAAAACAATAGAATTAGTGCTCTTTGCCTTGAACAATATGAAAAGGGGTTGTTTCCTGGTTATGCTGCAATAAAGGCTAGAGTTTTGCGGGAAGATGAAACTTCATCAATTGATAGTATTGATGAGAGAGCATATGGTTATACAACAGTGCATACACCTCCACCTAATACTGCAGCATATTATACACCCCTACACAATTGCAAAATTTCGGCAACACTAACACTTCATTGCCGAAAGATCCTAAAAGCATTGGGGGGCAAACTAATCTAGAGCAGACTAAAATTGAAAGGGGAATTAAAAAGCTTTGCGTGATAGGGTGCAAGTACTTTGCCAAAAGAAAATTGATAGGGAATTAGCTCAAAGAAAAGAATCCTTGCCAATTGATATAACCGGTGAAAAGAATGATGATTCAAAAACTAAAAGTGTTTCGGTTGAAAAAGCCGAATCAAGTAGTATATATTCCAAATCCATCAAATTTAAAGAGGCAAACATTGTTGAGAAAGAGCATGGAAAGTATAGCAAGACAGCCATATTTAATTTTTCTGAATTTAATGGAACCTACTTCCTGCCTTATAAATAAAGAGGCAAACATTGTTGATAAAGGGCTTTTCATAATGTCAGCCAACTTCAAGGTTTTCCCATGCATGAGCTGTCAGGTTCAGCTTGGCATCTTTCCTGTAGATGAATCTATGTTCAGCTGGTCTGATCCTCGTACCATGTTTGATTTAGAACGTGGCCATTCTGTAAGGCTTGCTTGGCGGGCTGGAGCGTCCTCCACGTCTCCATGCAACGGCAACCGCACAGTCCTCCGGGCCGGGCCGACTCCATCTATCGGCGGCGGTCGGCGTCGGCACCACCGTGGCCGACGGAGCCTTCCATCTGGCCCCGGCCGCTTAACCCAGCTGCGCCACATGTCCCGCCCCCGCACCGCCTGCGAGATCGCCGTAGTGGATTCGTGCCAACGCACCGGTCAGCAGAAGCAGCGTGCCAACACAACACCGGTGAGGCGGTGGCCGCTGATCAGCGGCTACGTATAGATAGCCATGGCAGGCACGCAGCTCGTTGCGGCACCGGCACCCCGACCAGCTGATCGATCGATCAACAATGGAGGCCGCCGTCGCGTACCTCCTCCTGCTCCCGCTCGCCACCTGCGCCGTGCTCCTCCCCCTCCTCCTCCTGCTGCTCCCGGCCTTTCGGCCGTCCAAGGCCAGCCGCCTCCCGCTGCCGCCGTCCCCGCCGGCCGTCCCGGTGCTTGGCCCGCTGCTCTGGCTCTGGCGCGCGCGCTCCCGCCTCGAGCCGGCCATCCGCGACCTGCACCGCCGCCACGGGCCCGTGCTCACCCTCGGCTTCCTCTCCCCGCGCCCCGCCGTCTTCGTCTCCGGCCGCCGCGTCGCCCACCGCGCCCTCGTCCAGCACGGGCACACCTTCGCCAGCCGCCCGCCCGCCATCGCGCCCTTCGTCGTCCTCACTTCTGCCCAGCGCACCGTCAGCTCCGCGCCCTACGGCCCGCTCTGGCGCTCCCTCAGGCGGAACCTCGCCTCCGGCGTCCTCCACCCCTCCCGCGTCGCCCGCCTCTTCGCGCCCGCACGGCGCTGGGCGCTCGCGCTCCTCGCCTCCGACCTCGAGAACGAGTCGTCCCGGAGCGAGGGCGGCGTGGTGACCGTTGTCGAGTGCCTCCAGTTCTCCATGTTCTCGCTGCTCACGTACATGTGCTTCGGGAGCAGACTGCCGGCCGGACGCGTCCGGCAGATCGAGGCCGTGCAGAGAGAGCTATTCTCCTCCTACATCGGCTTCCAGGTCTTCGCCTTCTGCCCGGCGCTCACCACGAGGCTGTTCCGGCGGCGGTGGAGGAAGGTGATGTCCATCCGCAGTAAGCAGGAGGACCTGTTCATGCCACTAATCGCAGCAAGAAGAGAACGGAGCCTGCTGACGGCTGACGGTGGCGACGGCACCTTGGCGTACTGCTACGTCGACACGCTCCTCGCGCACCGGCTCCCCAAGGAGGAAGAGGATGGCGGCGAGCGCGCGCTCTCTGAGGCTGAGATGGTGAGCCTCTGCACGGAGTTCCTCACGGCCAGCGTCGACACCACGGTGACCGCGCTGCAGTGGATCATGGCGAACCTGGTCCGGCAGCCGGAGATCCAGGCGAGGCTCCGGGATGAGATCGACGCGGCGATCACCAACGACCACCAGGACGCCGTCGCGGAGGAGGACCTGTCGAGCATGCGCTACCTGAAGGCGGTGGTCCTGGAGGGGCTGCGGCGGCACCCGCCGGCGCACTTCCTGCTGTCGCACGCGGCTCCGACGGAGGCGTCGCTGGACGGGCTACGCGTGCCGGCGGCCACGTCGCTGAACTTCTCGGTGGCGGACGTGTCACTGGACGAGGAGGTGTGGAGCCGGCCAGAGGAGTTCAGGCCGGAGCGGTTCCTGGACGGCGGGGAGGGCGCCGGGGTGGACCTGACGGGGAACCGTGAGATCAGGATGATGCCGTTCGGGGCCGGCCGGAGGATCTGCCCCGGCCTCGGGCTGGCGATGCTGCACCTGGAGTTCTTCGTGGCCAACCTGGTGAGGCGGTTCGAGTGGTCTGCGGCGGAGGATGGCCGCGGCGTCGACCTCGCCGAGAGGCCGGAGTTCACGGTGACCATGGAGCAGCCGCTGCGCGCGCGCGTGGCGCCCAGACGCCCCCGGCTAGTTCGGCCAGTCTGAATGTGTGCGATGGTTACACGTATGGGTAGGGTGCACATACGTTGGCCATTGTACAGAAATATAACAAACAGCGTCCTACAGACGTATCAAATAAAGTAAAATTTAAATTTAATTAAAAAGCTGGAATAGCTCAGTTGGCCAGAGCGTGTGGCTGTTAACCACAAGGTCGGAGGTTCAAGCCCTCCTTCTAGCGTATTTTTTTTTTTGGTATTGTAATTTTTTTTACAGATATTTGTCCTTGCGATTGATTTATGGTTTTATGCATATTAACTTTTCATGCATGTATACCCGCAAAAAAAACTTTCATGCACGTATTTCATAAAAGAAATTCAAAATGAATTATTTCAATATCATGTTTCATGACTTTCTTTAATATGGGTCAAGTTTGCAAGAGAATAAGTATCTTGTCGAAGATGTGCAGATTTTCTCTTGTTTCTAGAGCAATTTTTTTGTTAATTTTTCAAGATTGGCATCAGATATTTGTCCTTGCGATTGATATCAGATTGGCATCAGAGGGAGAAAAGTATTATTTTCAAAATCAAATGTGTTTTCCTGCAATATTTATCTTACTGTCCTTTTAGATATTTGTCCGTGCAGTTGGTTTCAGATTTTATATCAACTTTCGTGAACCTGCCGGCACGGGGTATGTTATACAAAAGTGTAATTTTAATATCATGTTTTCCTGCTATATTTATTTTACTGTTTTGACAACTTTGGTAGAGAATAAGTACATGTTGAAGATATGTAAATTTGCCTTTTCTATATAATATTTATATAATGCATTAGTACCCTCAGTTTAAGAACATGATAACACAATGTATACCATAGCTTTGTTCCAAAAATGTTAAAACTTTTGTAATGAGAAGAGAACATTGCACACAGTGGCATGTATGCTGACATACTACATATGATCCCATTTTTCAGCACATGTAAGGGTACCACATCATCATCATTTTTTTTATGTTTAGCAACAAATTATTCTGACAAAGGTAGAAGGCCATGGGGGTTCATCGTCATTGTCAATCTTTATTTTTGACACCAAAAACGTTCCACCGAAACCAGAAGTTCACGAGAACCAACCTGCGGTTGGATGGTTAGAGGGACTGTAGTATCCTCAGCCCACCTCTGGTGCTCGCATTTATTTCTGGATTTATTTTAGGATTTTAGGCGATGCGCATTCAGTGGGAGGAGACGTTCCCGTCAACGACGAGGTGCCTACGGTGATTTCGTAAATTTTAAGACGATATACCGACTCAGTTTTTCGAAAATGCTCATAAGGATAGGGTGTGCGTGTCTATGTTCATAGAGGTGAGTGTATATGGGCATTTGTGTCTGTACTAATGTTAGAAAAAAAAAGAAATCAAAAGTTCACGAGGCTTCTAATTTGTCCTCGACAAATTTATTGCTATAAATTCTTGCAGCAATCTGCGTGGTACTATCTAGTTTTGTAAAAGCTTATGAATTTTGAAGGATGGTATTTATACAGAGATTTTACTCTTTTTCCAGAATATTGAGATTTTAATTTGACGCTGTTTGGAATAAACAAATGGCTATCTTGATTCCAATGAATTTCATATTCACACGGTCTCATTTTATATTGTTTCCTCTATGTGTCTACCATTGTGTGTCTCTCCTATATGACATCCAAACAACACGTGAGAAAATTTCATGCCGGTTTTTTCCTAAATGTATTTTTGAAACCTTTTTTTGACATAAATGATATTCACTCGTTGTCGTTCCTTTTTACACCACTGCAATCTTTTAAGTTTGAGGTCCGCATTTCAAATCGGGGCCTATACTTTGGGCCCATACAGAATGGGTTGTAGCTTACCACTGTCTCTGGAGGCCCAAGCACACTGGTGAGAGACCAAATTCTCTTGCCCACACAACGGCGCGCGACGGCGAACCTCTCAGGGGAAAAAAGGCGACGCGACGGCGCTGGAGCCGGCGGCCACTCCACACCCCAGAACGCGCTGACGGGAACGAGCGGATCAAGGCCAGGTGCATCGGCGGTGCCCACTGCTTCGCGGCGGTCTTCACCGGTGCCGTGGGGATCGCGCCCTCTGCAGCCGACTTGTAAGCATTCTCTGGTCTTTACTCCTCGTCTGCACTTGAATCTTCAAATGTGACCGGGGGACTGCCATTTTGGGAGATTTTTCGCACTTCGAGCACGGAGGCCAATCAAATCCGATTGTCTGATCGAAACCATGATGTAGAGTTCAGGATAGTTTTGCAACTCAGGCACAGGGATGAGGCCGGCACATGTTATTGTCTAGCAGCTGTATGATGAAATGCTTAAGCTAGATGCGGCGATTGTAGAAGTGCTTTCTTCCATGATTGCTCGAGCTCTTTCTACCTTGGATTCTTCCATGTTCTATTGTGGCCAATGTGCGTCGTTACTCACTAGACATTGTTTGGATGCGCAAGGCTTGGGTCCAATGGTCACTCACAGAATTGGCTTACCTCACGGATTTTTTTTTCCATCAGGTTTTGCACTTGTGGCAGTCTGGACGCCTACGATCAAGTAAATCATGCGGGCAAAGCTTTGGATGAGATTTGCCCCCTTCCTTTCAAAGCGTTACATCTCCACCTGCCGGACATCCCCACTACCTCCATCTTCATCGAGCTCGGTAATACAACCATGGCTTTTTATTGGCCTCGGTAACCCCGGTGAGAAGTACCAATCCACCAGACACAATGTAAGTTCTCCTTCTCATCTTTGTCTGGAATTCAGTGGCCCGGCTTTATTCTCAGAGTTCCTTTGTGTTGTTTCGCCTTGCAGGTTGGGTTTGATATGATAGATGCATTTGCAGAGTCTCAGGGCATATCCCTGACAACGCATCATTTCAAAGCACTATTTGGTGAAGGTTTGGCTCCATCTGTAATCTCTCAGAAAGAATGTTTCTCTTTACTCTTTGAGTAATCCATATTCTGTTTTCAAAGTACCAAAGACTTGAATTGACTTAAAGTGCGGGCCTTCCGCAGGGGTGGTAGATGGTGTCCCTGTTTTGCTTGCCAAGCCTCAAACATACATAAATCTGAGTGGTGAATCTGTAAGCAAGCAGTTTTGGAAGACTTATTTAAATTTTATACTATACATTTTTCATGCGATGCAGTTCATTTTAACTGGCTTGACTGTGAACCACGACAGCATGTTAAATGCTTGTGATGCTGACACCCCTCTGTTTTTCCTTTTCTTATTATAGGCTGGTGCACTTGCTGCATATTATAAACTGCCACTTCACCGTGTCATAGTGGTAAGCACTTGTTTTCTGATCTTCATCGGCGCCACCTTATACAGTGATCTGACTTCTCTGTTTTATGAGTGTTAGGCATATGATGACACGGACCTGCCATGTGGAGTTCTCCGTTTACAACCTAGAGGAGGATACGGACGTCACAATGGGTTGGTAAACCTTAACTTTATGTGCTCTCTGAAAGAGTTTTATTCCTGTGTCAAAAGATTCCAAAGGGAAAACAATGTATTCATTCCTTGTGTTTAAATACAGAAATAATAAAAAGCATAGATCTGTAATTTATCTGTTTAAAATGTCAGACCGTTGTCTTAGACCTGTAATCTAGTCTGCTGGTATGCCCTTAGGAGATACCTGTTTCAGTGAACTGGTAAACATTATGTTACTTATCTTCGAGAAACTGAGATTGCCAGAACTTCTTTTTCGTTCTGTAGTTTTTTTTACAGGAGGGAAAAGCTTTGCCCATTTCATTGATAAAGCAGGTGTACCGAATTAGTAATTATACTTCATGTTTGTTGTTGTATTCCTGCATGCACATGTTTTTTCTTTTCATTTTTATCATGCCACCATGATCCTTTTAGTACACTTGTTTCTACTTGCCATTTAACATAGACTTTGACTTCGTGCTCTGTTGAAAACTACAGTTTAATACAAGTAAAATGGTATTATTTTTGTGACATCTAATTCAAGTTGTGTTGGTCAAAATTGAACCTCAAATTCATGTGGGACGTGTGAATAGGGACGTAGGGAGTGGTCAGTTACTGAAAATCATCTTCAGAACATAAGCACTCTCGAATGAGTGTGATAGAATGCTCCATTATTAAGTTTGTTATGTGTGTGTGAATGCAGATCGTTAGCTCTCTCAAATCTATGTGATGTTCCGTCAGATGAGGGCTATATTTAATCTTGACAGGAAACATTTACCTTGTTAGTTTATCAGGTTGAAGAGTGTGATCTACCATTTTCGCAAGAACCGGGAATTTGGTCGATTAAGGATTGGTAGGTTTGACAGCTGCAGGATTCAGATTTTATTTTCCTTTTCTGGACCCAAAAAAAAGTCATTGCTTGGCATATGTAGGAATTGGACGACCGCCTGGTCAGATGGATCCCAAAGCTTTTGTGCTTCAGAAGTTCAATAAGACTGGTCGGGAACGGGTAAATCTTTATTGCTTTTATCATGCAGTTCAATTTTGATGTTATGCTTCTTTTTATTATCGTTTCTTAATTGTTCTTACTTCTTAGTAAATTAATATTTTAAACACCTTCATTTGTTCTGTGGTTACATGATCATGTCCATTAATTTGCTAGGACAGGTATGACCAAACAATATTGTATAAGCAAGCTCTTAATTTAATCTGCTTCAGTTAAACCTTGTTGAATTTCTGCAATGTTTCTTGCAAATAGCAAACACTTAACTGAGTCAGCCCATTTTATGACTGCATTCGTCTATTGCCACTATTCTTTGCACACCAGAGCCAGGAATAGGAGGAATCATTTGGGCATTAAAATGGTTTCCAAAACTTAAATTTGGTGACCGATATATTCTGTGATCAAACTAGATGCACACAGATATTGTGCTTCAAACTGAACACTAGTAAATGTGCACGTGCAACGCACGTCTCAACTAAAATACATATAAAATATAATAACTCTATCACTATCACTATTTAACCATGGTACATAGATGTTTGTCTTGTATCAAAGACATCACTATCATTATTTGTTCTATATCACAGACATAACTTCATAGCATGTTCTGTCTAAGATTTGTCATCATTGTATCCAATTTTAACTAAATATGAGTTATATTATTTCTAATCAAAAAATATATCAAGCTTATTTCCTTCTATTTGGTTCCTATGAATGGGTCATTACAGTAGCCACTGGAAAATAAGTAAAAATTGATATGCAAGTGTGTGTATAGAGGTAATGGAAATAAGTGGTTTCCAACTAAGCTGATCTAATGACATAATTCATCAAAGTTCTAAGATATAAGCTTGTGCATCTAAGGAACACAAACATTGCTGTCATGACCTTTGACTTTTATGAAGGTGTCGTAGGCCGATGATCCTTGGTTATAAAGATGACAAAATATACATGAAAATATGTATATCATTTGAAACTTGCACTTTGTAATTGACTGGAGTTTCAAGTTGCGCTAGCATTGACTGAATTTTACCCATTGAAGGAAAAAAACTGGGACAATACTACATACCACGTTGTGTTGCCATTGTGAAGCAATCTTCAGTGGCATCACAGAAAATCCATCACTTCAACAAGGGCAGCCCGGTGCATGTAGCTCCCGCTTGCGCAGGGTCGGGGAAGGGTCCGACCACTTTGGGTCTATAGTACGCAGCCTTTCCCTACATTTCTGTAAGAGGCTGTTTCCAGGACTTGAACCCGTGACCTCATGGTCACAAGGCAGCAGCTTTACCACTGCACCAAGGCTCCCCTTCCCATCACTTCAACAAGGAGAAATAAAATCACAAAATGTAAGTATGTAGTATTACTATGGCCATGAGGTGAGGTGAGTCTTGTTGAGCAGCTAAAAGCAAATAATGCCGTCCTGCCTTGCAACCTCGAAGATCATCCTCCTCCACTTGGCCAACCGCTCGCCGTCCATGTCGTCGACATTGACCGCAGCTTCGCCTTCCACACACCCAATCAACTCTAGCAGCCATGAAGGCCGCGGCCGCGGCGCCGGCTTCTTCCTTGTGTGTTGTGTGTGGTACCAAGCCGAGTTGCATTCTTCCCCATCCATAAAGGCAACCACATGTTGCAGTGAATAATGGCCACTCTGCAATAAAACTAAGCAATAATAGTTCAAACCATAAACAAAAGAAGAATTATGAATAATGTTGGTACCATGGTTGAAGATGTCAATCTGATGAACTATTTCACCATCAATTTGATAGGTCGTAATATCAACTGTCAAGAACCATCAAGTAAATAGAGTCATGACTAACCTGAATATGTTTTCTTAACTCTAAGATGAGCATTGAACACAAGCTTTGGAAATGAATTGACTCTTCAAAATAAAAGCAATGTTGCCAATTATTGATATGACAATCATCTAGTTGATGTATACAACCAAAATTCAAAACAATTTGGTGTAGCCTATTCTACAGTATGCCAATAAAAGAGAAGACAAATTTCTATGTACACCAACAGAAGGTAGACATATGTTTATTCCATTTGAGATTACAACAGGGATGGTCTTTATAATCATGTCTCCACTTGAGAACAGTAGTTTATAAGAAAAGAAGTACAACAAATATAGATTTAGTGAGGAAGCAATGCATTAGAACTGAATCAATTGATAACAACATATAGTGAATGCTTGGAAATGCATGTGGACATAACTATTGACAGGAACAAATCCAATTTTATGGCTTAAAATCTATTAAAATAAAAACACTCCCTTTGCTCTGGCAAGATACTCCAGATATCCATTAAAATAATCATATATCGACTATAAGTCGCCTACAAAGAGAAACATCCGGATAGCTATTAGAAAGAACAAAGTAGTCTTGAAACACAGGGTAGCTTACAACCACAAGCACTACAGATAAAAAATCTATTTGGTTTCTATGTCGGGGACAAATGGAAGGGATATATCTCATAGAATTTTGAATATATATATATATATATA